AAAAACAGCATGTCTATTTAGTTTTTAAAGAACTTAGTGTATAAACACATTAGTCCTTATTAAAGCCCTATGATTAAGAGAAAGGAAAAGACAAGCTACAGAGTGGGAGAAAATATTTGCAAATCACATGTCTAATAAAGGACTTATATCCAGAATATATAAAGAACACTCAAAACTCAACAGTGAGAAAATAAATCACCCAATTAAGTAGCTGAGCAAAAGATTTGACAGACACTTCTACAAAGAAAAAATATAATGCTAATTAAGCACATGAAAAAATGCTTACCGCCATTAGGGAAATGCAAATTAAAACTACAAAAAATACCATTACATTCCTAGTAGAATGGCTAAAATAATAAAAAATCATGACAATACCAAGTGCTATCAAAGATGTGGAGCAACCGGAACTCCTACACATTGCTGATGGGAGTGCAAGATTGTACAGTCACTCTGGAAAATTGTGGCAGTTTCTTATAAAGTTAAACATACACTTACCATATGATCCAGCAAATCCACTTCTAGGTATTTATCTTAGAGAAATGAAAACCTCTGTGAATATTTAGAGCAGGAGTATTCATAATCTTTGAAAACTAGAAACAATACAAATGTCCTTCAGGAAATGAATTGGCAAACCGTGTCACATCTGTGCAATGGAATGCTGCTCGGCCATGAAAAGGAATGAATTAGTATACACAACCAACATGGATGAATGTCAAAGGCATTAAGTTGAAGAAAGGGTACACACTCTATGACATTCTGAAAAAGGAAATCTTATAGGAACAGTTGTCATGGGTTAAGAGCTGGGGGATCGTTTGACTACAAAGGGAATTTTTAGGGGGAGGAAACTGTTCTGTATCCTGGTTGTGGTTGTGGGTATATAAATGTATGCATCAAGACTCGTAGAACTACACACCAAAAATAAAGTCAATTTTACTGCATAAAATGTTTTTAAAAACCCTATGAGGTAGATGTCTTAGTTTGGGTTCCCCCAAAACAAACCCTGAGATAAGAAATTAGGGAATAGGAATTTATTTGCATAGTGAGTCCAGGAATCATAAGTGAAGAAATGGGGAAAGTGAGACAGAGAAGGGAGAAAAGTAAAAAAATGTTGCATTAGTGAGTGGGTCTCCATGGTGGGTGGCTTCAGCTCAATAACATTGAGAATCTTCTGAGAAACCATGTGGAGTATGTCTCAGAATTGCTCCACCTATAGGCATCTTTCATTTGGTTGGGGCTGAAGTTGCCCTTGAAGCATAAACTCTTATGCTTCTAGGTTGTGTAAGTGCCTTCGAATGCCCTTAGGCAAAGAAGAGGAAAGACCTAGGTCCCTGAGGTGGGAAGATGTCACCTGCCTATTGCAGCTGCCTGTGAATTCTGGTGGGCTGAGGAGTAAGGGAAGGCAATCGACAGCATCTGCTAATGAGGTATTAGTAATAGATGCTCTATACATTTGGTTTTGCAATCAAGTGGGGGAAATTTGTCAGATGATTAAAATAAATATATGCAATGTTGATAATAAGAACTCTAGTCATCTGGGAAAATACTTACAATATGCCAGGTACCACGTTAGACTTGCCAGACTTCTCCTTATTCTATCATCTGATTCTTCCAACAGCCCTATGAGATAAACATCAATACCCCCACTTTACAAGCAAGGAAACTGAGGCTCAAAGCAGTTAAGTAGCTTCCCCAAGTATGTGCGTGTGCGCGTGCGCGCACGTGCACACACACACACACACACACACACACACACACACACACACATAACTGGGTGATAAGATCAACTTAGAAGCCCATAGTTTTTCCATCATGCTTGGTCAGTGCCTACTTTGATTTATATTGCTACATAACATTCCAGAAGATATAGTAATTCTGAGAAAACAGTGCATAGCATGAGGAATTATGAATTGCGATTAAAAAGCCAGGTCTAAATCACTCCAGGGCTGAGCCCTACTTGTGGGAATACTCAGGCCTTCTATTTCTGGGTAACTATGGGCATTTCATTGTTCATTAGAATCTTCAATAGATAGTGGCTGAGAAAAAAAAAAAATCTCAAACCAATTCACTTTACTCCTTACACAGATGTCTAGAAATGTTGAAACTTTGGCTAATAAGAAATTGAAAATTGGCTGTATAATAATCATCTGTGCAACTGCTATCTTCTTATTAGCATAAATGACCAAGCGATGCTCTAGCTGTGAGCATTGATCCTGTAGCTTCAGCCTCCTTACCACCACTGTGGAACGATACCTTTCATTTTCCTTACTGCTTCTTAATGGGCAGTCCTTCAACCCTGAAGATGACTTTGCCGCAAAAGGACATGAACTTGGAGTTGTTTTCCACCGTAGGAAGAATAGGATTATAGACTCATCCACATTCCCTTACTCTCTCCCAATTGTCGTCTCTATTCTCATCATAGTAGCTGGACACAGTTAAAGGATATAGACTTTTGGCCAGAGAACAAAAGAAAGATAACAGACCCACGTGGGCACTGAACCCCTGACCTCATTAGCATTGTTTTCTCACCACCTCTGCTAACAGAGAGCCCAATTACGAACACTGAATCAAAGAGGGAAGTCACCTCTTCACCCGAAGCCAAGAAAAGCCTACGACAGCTGGTTTTTAAGAAGGGAATGCTTCTCCAGTCAAATAACCACAGTATGAACATCCACAAGCAATTTCTAAGCATCTTCTATCCTTGCATGGCTCAGTATAACAAGAATTGCTGTCAACGTGGTTTCCAGTCTGGGAGGTGACGAAGGCTTTGGGAGCATCACCCTACGATGGATGTGATGGAGTATGCTGGGTGTACCTTCTTAAAAAGACTCTCAAGAGTGAGCCAACTTGAATCTTCTGCAGTTGTAATCCCCCAATCTTAGTCCCCTCTTTGAAACCCTTCCACACTGTCTTTTTTTTTTAACTTTTTATTTTATATTGGAGTATAGTCCATTAACATTGTTGTGATAGTTTCAGGTGCACAGCAAAGTGACTCAGCCATACATATACATGTATCCATTCTCCCCCAGACTCCCCTCCCATCCAGGCTGCCACATAACATTGAGTAGTGTTCCCTGTGCTATACGGTAGCTCCTTGTTTGTTCCACACTCTTAGTCTTCACACTGGAAGCTCTGCCTATTTCTTTTGACTGTCCACTGAGGGATCTGTGGCAGAGCTAGTTCCACAGTGGGTTTTACAATTGAAATGACTCATTACTCTATGGCATTATATAGATTCTTCAAAGTGGTTCTTAAACTGCTAATTACAACTTCCTTGTTCTGAAAGGTAGAGAATTTGTACAATTTGTGTCTCTGTGTGCATGAGTATATGCATATATATAGTTGTTTAGGAATTTTTTTAGAATATAAGTTGAGTTACATCTAATTAGTTGTATTCCATTTTTTGAAAACTTAAGTTATTTCAATAAGCTCCTGGGAGGCAATGACTGAATAGGTCAGTCAAGGCATGATGCTGATAAAACCAAAGATGACTCAATTCCCAGACCAGTTACAGGGCTTTTTAGTAGGCGTGGACCACAGCTCTAGGCAGAGCCAACCAGCTCATACATGGTGTGATTTATGTAATGAGAACAAGTAGAGAGAGAGCATGGACAGTTCATTGCAGAAACACCTTCCCTACTGGAAAAAAAATACAGCCAATTCTGATGGCAGTGGTTTAGCTTTATACTGTTCTCATATACTAAGGGCAGCACTACTTAATGAATTAGAAGACATATGCCCAGAAGCTAGAGTTGGCCCATGCAAAGGTGAATTCTTGTTCTAGACTCCAAATTGCGGTTATGTTTCAGAATATATTTTACTTTATAGAAGATTTTTGACACTAAAGATTTGGCTGCTAACTCTTCCTTCTACTCTACTCTACTCTACTCTTCCCAGCACCAGACAACAATGAACTTCCCCCCCATTTCCCACCAAGCCTATGCATATAATTTACAGGCATACCTCGGAGAATTTGTGGGCTCAGTTCCAGGCCACCACAGTAAAGGGAATAATGCAATAAAGCAAGTCACACCAATATTTTGATTTCCCAGTGTGTATAAAAGTTACATTTATACTATACTGTGGTCTATTAATTATGCAATAGCATTATGTCTAAAAAAACAGTGCACATATCTTAATTCAAAATATTTTATTTCTAACCATCATCTGAGCCTGTAGTGAGTCATAATTTTTTGCTGGTGGTGGGTCTTGCCTCAGCGTTGATGGCTGCTGACTAATCAGGGTGGTAGTTGCTGAAGGTTGGGAAGATTGTGGCAATTTCTTAAGATAAGATGACAATGAGGTTTGCTGCATCAGTTGACTCTTCCTTTTCATGAACGATCTCTCTGTAGTGTCCAGTGGGATTGGATAGCATTTACCCACAGTAACACTGCTTTCAGAATTGGGGTTGGTCCTCTCAAACCCTGATGCTGCTGCTTTATCATCCAAGTGTATGTAATATTCTAAATCCTTTGTTGTCATTTCAACAATCTTCACAGCGTCTTCACCAGGAGTAGATTGCATCTCAAGAAATCACTTTCTTTGCTCATCCATAAGAAGCAACTCCTCATCTATTCAAGTTTTACCATGAGATTGCAGCAACTCAGTCATATCTTCAGGCTCCACTTCTAATTCTAGTTCTCTTGGCATTTGACTATATTTGTCATTACTTCCTCCACTGAAGTCTTGAACCCCTCCAAGTCATATAGAGTGTTGGAATCAACTTCTTCTAAACTCCTGTTAATGTTGATATTGTGACCTCTTCCCATGAATTATGAATGTTCTTCATAGAATCTAGAATGTTGGATCCTTTCCAGAAGGTTTTCAACTGACTTTACCCAGAGCAGTTGGAAGAATCACTATCTACGGCAGCTATAGCCCTATGAAATTTATTACTTAAATAGTAAGACTTGAAAGTCAAAATTACTCTTTGATCCATGGGCAGCAGAATGGACATTGTGTCCAGGCATGAAAACAACATTAATCTCATTGTACATTCCATCAGAGCTTTTGGATGACCAGGTGCATTTTCAATGAGCAGTAATATTTTGAAAGGAATCTGTTTTTCTGAGCAGTAGGTCTCAAGAGTGGGCTTAAAATATTCAGTAAACCATGCCGTAAACAGATGTGCTGTCATCCACGCTTTGTTGTTCCATTTATAGAGCCCAGGCAGAGTAGACTTAGCCTACTTCTTAAGGGCCCTAGGACTTTCAGAATGGTAAATAAACATTGGCTTCAACTTCAAGTCACCAGCTGTATTAGTCCCTAACAAGAGTGCTGGGGGGCTCTTTGAAGCTTTGAAGCCAGGCATTGACTTTTCCTCTCTAGCTATGAAAGTCCTAGATGGTATCTTCTTCCAACAGAAGCTGTTTCATCTACACTGAATATCTGTAGCCACCTTCCTTAATTATCTTAGCTACATCTCCTGGATAACTTGCTGCAGCTTCTACAGCAGAATTTCCTGCTTCACCTTGCACTTTTATGGTATGGAGACAACTTATTCCCTGAAACCTCATGAACCAACCTCTGCCAGCTTCAAACTTTCCTTCTGCAGCTTCCTAACCTCTCTCAACCTTTTGAATTGAAGAGAATTAATCCTTGCTCTGGATTAAGCTTTGGTTTAAGAGAATGTTGTGTCTGGTTTGATCTTCTATCCAGACCACTAAAACTTCCTCCATATCAGCAATAAGGCTGTTTTGCTTTCCTTTGTGTTCACTGAAGTAAGTAGCACTTTAAATTTCCTTCAAGAGCTTTTCCTTTGCATTCACAACTTGGCTAACTGTTTGGCCAAGAGGCCTCACTTTCAGCCTGTCTTGGCTTTTGACGTGCCTTCCTCACTAAGCTTAATCATTCCTAGCTTTTGGTTTAAAGTGAGAGATGTGCGACACTTCCTTTCACTTGAACACTTAGAGGCCATTGCAGGGTTATTACGGTGCTTTGCGACCACCTAGAGGGGTTGGCTAGGGAGGGTGGGAGGGAGATGCAAGAGGGAGGAGATATGGGGATGTATGTATACGTATAGCTGATTCACTTTGTTATAAAGCAGAAACTAACACACCATTGTAAAGCAATTATACTCCAATAAAGATGTTTTAAAAAATAATAATAATAATTGGCCTAATTTCAATACTGTTGTGTCTCAGGGACTAGGGAGGCCTGAGGAGAGGGAGAGAGATGGGGGAATGGCTGGTTGGTGGAGCAGCAGAACATACACAACAATTATCAATTAAGTTAGTTGTCATATGTGAGCTTAATGGTGCCCCCAAACAATTACAATAGTAACATCATAGATCACTGATCACAGAGCACCATGACAAATCTAAAATAATAAAAAAAGTTTGAAATATTACGTTAATTACATAACTGTTACACAGAGACAAGAAGTGAGCCAATGCTGTTAGAAAAATGGTACAGATAGACTTGCTCAGTGCAGGGTTGCCACAGACCTTCACTTGTAAAAAACACAATCTGTGAAGCGTAATAAAGTGAAGCGCATAAAGTGAGGTCTGCCTGGATAGCCATAGAAAACCTAGTTTATGAGTCAGTTCTGACTCTGATAGGCATTGCTAGTATTCCAACATCTCATTCTCCTCTCCTTCCAGGCACAAAGAAGATTACGTAGCCCTACTCTTTGAAGTTAGGTGTGTCCACGTGAGTAGTTTGGGTCAATGAAAGGTGAGCAGAAGAGTCCAGAACATTTAACTGCTTAAACTCAACTCTCCAGACTTCATGGCAGCGAACCCAGAGGCAAACCTGAACCTCCTGGTGATATATCAGCGCCAGAAGTGATGCCACCTCGTCAGCCTGTGAGCCTGAGTGACGTCTCTGTGAAGCAGAGCTGCCCCTGACCCTACACCACCACCTCTAGATGGTAGGAAAGCAAGAAATCAACCTGTGATGTTTTAAACCACTGACAGTTTGAGGTTGTTTCTTTCCCCAGTCTATCCTGACTGCCTCACTAGAGAAGAAAGTATTTCAGCACCTCGGCCTTTCCGACTTGGGGACTGGGTATCTGAAGTTTTGCCAAGAGTTCCAGGATCCGAAGGGCTCACCGAGGCACTTCCTACAATACTGGCCTTGTCTATGTTACTGGGTTCATGCCTCAGTTTCCCCTCTGAGTAGGGACCTGACTCTACTGTGGCCTAGCTCTCTTGGGCCCTCCATAACATCATGATTCATGTAGCTGTAGGTATCTCCTGCCTCCACCTGGACTGTGACAGCAGCCCCTCCCACTTGGTTTGAGCTCAGAGCCCATCTGAACCTCTCCTGGTTACCAAGCTCCCCGTTACGTCTTCACTGCACTGCTCTCCCAGGGTTCACCCACAGACTCCTTTCCCCACCTGTCCTTCACTTCACGTCTTGGTTGTCAAGTTGTCAATGTACCTCATGCTGAACCTTACTTGAGTTTTGATGACACTTGCTCTTATTATTTCCCAGCATATGGTTAAGTTACATATAAGAGCCCAGGACAACCTGAGAAGGATGGAGCTCAGAATAAATCCCACTTGTATGCTAAAGCAGGCAGAGTCCAGATTCTACCACAGGCCTGAAAGAAGTTGACTCCAACAGATAGAGTGTGGACTTAGGTGGGAATTAGGCAACAGACTAGTGTCAAGACATTTAATATGATTTTAAAAGGGAAGCCAGTTGAGGTCAATACCAGGAGGCCAGAGAGGCAGGCAGAAACAGGGACATGTGCAAGGCAGTATAAACCCTCTAAAAGACAGATGCTGGAATACTGGTTGCATTTCTGAGACAGAGAATAAGACAGGATCCAGATCTCAGACCTAGAGCAAATGTGGAGCTCAAGTCTCCAAAGTAAGGCCAGGGTCAACTATTCGACTTTCCAGCCCAAGGTCTGGAGGATTGGAATCACAAAGGACTGCTGTCATTCCTTAAATGTGTCATGGGAAAACGTATGCTTTTTCTTGGAGTTTGGGAGATGGATGTGCCTATAAGAGGGGTTAAGGACGCTTGATACGAGACAAAGAGGCTGAGAACCAAGCAGGATCTGACAGACGTCGTTAGTGAAGTACGCTGGCAGCATGGTCAAACCACTGTGCAAAGCAGGAAGTCAAGATTTCCAAATTGATGGGACAACTGACAACTCGTGGTCTTACATAAGGGTTGATATGTCTTTCGATGCATAGAACTTTTCTGGATTGGGCGGAAGGGGTGATAAGTGTGGACTTTGATTTATCCCTCAGAGTATGTGTGGCGTTGTACTACTAGCTTAGGTGATTTTGGCTGAGGGATAAGGAAAGGATAGCTCCATCAGCTAGTGTTCAACAACAACTGTGTGTGCCTATCAAAAGTGTAGGAAAGGGCTTCCCTGGTGGCGCGGTGGTGCCCCGGTCCAGGAAGATCCCACATGCCGTGGAGCGGCTGGGCCCGTGAGCCATGGCCGCTGAGCCTGCGCGTCCGGAGCCTGTGCTCCGCAACGGGAGAGGCCACAACAGTGAGAGGCCTGTGTACGGCAAAAAAAAAAAAAAAAAAAAAAAAGTGTAGGAAGATTAGGACTCCTTCATTAAGAATCCCTTATTTTTTAGGGCAAAAACAGTTCATGCACATGAAACACTATGCAAACTTTATTAAACAATAGGTACTTTATTGTCAGCTTGCATTGATATGCCTCTGGCTACCAAAGGATTGCAGAGAATCGAAAGATGAATCACTGGGAAAAGTCAAACGATTTTCACACAGAAGGTAAAATTTTATGTGGAACTTAAAGTAAGGGTGGAAATTGGATAGAGCTAAGGAAAGAATAAATCTGACAAGAGAAAGAAATGAGCAAAAGCCTTGAAGTAAGAAGGGGAAGGGAGTCACGTTAGACAGCAGGAAGGCAGCCAGTGAGAGAATAGGGGTGCTGAGCAGTGAAAATAATTTGAGGTTGGCGGGGAGGTTGTCTAGAATGTAGCAAAACTTGGCAGGTAGCAAGCAGAGAAGTTTACACTTGCTGGGGTAGAAATTGAAAATCCCTAGTACAATTCACACAGAAGACAGAAAAGTAACAAAAGGAAAGGAAACGGATGTGAAATAAGGTACCTAGATCACAGTCAAGGGAGACCTTGGGCAAGTAACCACGCTGCTCCAAGGGGTGTTCTGGCTCTCGACATCCTGTGCCTCTGTGACTGTGAGTGACTTACACGGTGCTATGAAATAAACATCTGTTGAAGGTCCACTCTCAACTCAGACAACAGCCTCACGAAGATGCTCAGCGATTCCAGAGGCCACTCTTCCTAGGACTGAGAACAGGCCTGGGTTTTAAGCATTCAAACCCATGCTCTTTCCATTCTTGCCTAGCCCTCTCTAGCCTCTGCATAACCTCACCAGCCATGTGTCCCTAGGCAACTCCTGTCACCTGAACTCTGACACCACTCCCTAGACTGAGCAGAGTGACTGTGTCCTGATATGGAGGCTGTGACAAGTCAGAAACTCATTCTCACCTCATTAACTCTGCGCCCCTATTCCTGGGCACCTACAAAATTCACCTTTCCACCCTTGTTTGGAGCCCCAGGGCAACCCAGGTCCTCCTCTTGCTTCCTGTTTTCAGAGAGTAGGCAGAAGAGATCCATGCCAGCCTGTATGGCCAGAGTTACACTGGGCCCTGGGGACTTTCCAAGAGGGAATCTTCCTCAATTTGTTGTGAAGTTCTTTGGTTTGTTGATTGAAGTCTGTGGTCTCTAAAACATACAAATCTAAGTTCCAGAATTCACAAACGCTTTACATGCTAGACATCATGTAATTCAGTTTAAAAGGTAAAGTGGAAAAATCAAGCAATCACTTGGCTAATTAGTCTTTACCAATTTTCAAATATCTGAACATTTTTAGAAATGATTTAAATCTAAATTTTCCTGCAAATTTGTGAAGTAGAAATCCCAGACTCTGGTGGCAGATGGTGGACAAAGGGACCAAAAGGCTCAGAGAGCTGGGAATGTTAGAGTGGCTTTCCTAGGTATCACGGATGCTGCGATGCACCTCCCGCATCCCTCTTCAGGCATGAAGGGCTTATTCCCCAGCTGCGTGGAGTGTACTAGCAGCTGACTGCCCCCAGCCATCTACTTTTTCTGGAATTGCCCACAGAGGAACAGAGCTGACTTTCCCAGGGCCGTGGCCCCTTCCTTCCCAGGAGCAGTCTGCACACAGTGACTGAGGTAGGAGTATAAATGTCTGGCCCACTTGCTCCAACTCAGGACAACTCAGAAGGGCAGGCCCTACCTCAGCACCACATGAGGAGACAGCTGGGTCTGTTTGGAAACTGCGTCAGAGGCCAATTTCTCTCTCCCATTTGCTGATCCCAGGAGCATCTTGAATAAACTTCCTAGGCACTAAATTCCATCTCAGGGTCTGCTTCCTGAGGATCCCAACTTCTGATACTAGGTAAGTGTAAAACGTCTAGTTAATGGGAGACCTAGAGCAGACTCCATTCACAGAAACAATGAGGAATACATTAGTGAGAGCGGCACCAGTGTCACTGGGGAACCCAGTACTGGCTGTCCTCTGTTGACCAGAGGAGAGAGATAATAGGAATTACTGTTATAAAACTGGGCTCCCTGTTAACAATGGGGATGATAGCCTGGCTGTAGCATAGAAGTCAGGTGGTCATACGTAATGATCAGAAGCCAGGTGAGTCCAATTATAATAATGAGCCTGCAGGTCAGTAAGGCAGCCAGGGACAGACAACTGTGAGACGACTAGTAGAACACAGTGTTCCCAGGCTTCCCATACTGTATGAGCAGCCAGCAGGGTACTGCTGAGTTTATACAACCAAAAGAATCAAGGATGAACAGTCAAGAGATTGAGCACGGTTTCCTCAATAAAAGGCATGATTCCTTGCCCAGTTTCTACATCTGAGCCCATGGTCTGAAGGAGAGACCAGGCCCTATGAGAAGGATCCTGAAACACCATGGCAAATGCTGACAATAATTATTCCCCCAGCCCTTCCCTAAAGGTACCTCTAAGGTCATTGATTCAGGTAGCCATACACTAGAGAAAGGGGAATATCCAGCTATTTAAGGACTGTCAGACAGACAGCCTGGGTGATGTTGATAGTTGGGGGCCCAAAGTGTCATCATGATCCCTGTTAGAATGGGAGCAGATGGGGGCCAGGGAATAAATGAAGCCCCTGTCGGGCCCAGCTCACAGTGGGTCCACTGGGTCAATGGATCCACCCTGTGGTCATTTTCTTGACTGCTGGCTGTATAATTGGAAGGGACACACTTGGTAGTTGAAAGAACCCCCAGACAGGCTCCTTGGCCTATGAAGTAAGAGTTATTGCAGTGGGGAAAGCCATGCAAAAGGCTCTAAAACTGTTCTTGCCTCAGGCCAAGATAGTAAATAAAAGATAATATGGTTTCCTATGT